TGTCCTCGGAAGTAGGTATATATCTGTATTTTTGTCCTCGCAACATATAGCAATCCAAATACACACATACAGACACACTAACTGCAAAGACTCCCTTTTTGTGCTTCGCACACAGAAGTCAAAAATCAATGATAGAATGTCACACAAACATTGATATTATATTTTCAGGACGTCATCAAAATTATTAGATTTTCCAGTTCCAATATGCAACATCAACATTTGTTTGCGAGAGTTGAAATCATTTAAAATTGACACAAAAAATTCAGATCCCTCACATGGGTGGTGGACCAAATCCTAATCTGTTTCATACACAGTGCAGTCCACATCGCACAACAGCTTTACAAATTATTCTTAAGTATGTCATATTAACTCACTCCAAGGGTTCTTTCTCCTCCAATGGTACACATATCATCCTTGTCAAACTCCACATACTGGTTCAACAATTCTTGTGGCATACCCCAAGCCTTAGAAATCATCCATCTTGGTATCCTAGGCAACGGTCGACCTATTACAAGAAAACAGTGTCATAAGTAGCTATCACTCCTTTTCATGCGGTTCAAATGTACTCTTGTCAGGAGATTTGAAATACACTGCTCTCTAGAGTCAATGAAACACTTGTTTGCAGTGGTCGAAGAAGTGATTGGCCAGGGAGAGCATTAAACTACACATTAAATTACGTCATCTGACATTGCATTAAATTATGTCATCTGACATTGCATTAAATCATGTCATCTGACGATGCATTAAATTATGCCATCTGACGATGCATTAAATTATGTCATCTGACGATGCATTAAATTATGCCATCTGACGATGCATTAAGTTATGTCATCTGACGATGCATTAAATTATGCCATCTGACGATGCATTAAATTATGTCATCTGGATGCATTAAATTATGCCATCTGACGATGCATTAAATTATGTCATCTGACGATGCATTAAATTATGCCATCTGACGATGCATTCAAAATAAGACAATATTGAGATCATTGTGCATTCATCACATACATGTACAAAGAAATAATGTGGAGCCACATGTCACCTACCTTTGACCCCCACCAATGGAATATAATGATTTCTTCCAGGACTACTCCAAGCTATACATATTGGTTTGTTAAGTTTACCATCTTTTCCTTTACACTTGTCTGGCGGCACTAATGCAGGTAAGAATATACCTAGAAATTTAACAAAAATCACTCAGTTAGCATATGCTCTCCATTGCTTTGCCTGAGTGATGTTGTCTTTGTTGTAGTTATATTTTCATGATAGTGAAGGATACACTGCATCACAAAACAAACAAAGACTAAGCTTAGAAGAGGCACAACACATTGTTTTTACTTGGGCAAGTCATTTGTGAGGTGAGAGAGTCAAAATGCAATGTTATGCAACAAACTCAACTTTGAAAGAAACTATTCTGTCTTTTGCAAATTTGTTGCAGATAATACTAATGTTATTCCACAGCAAATAACCAGGTAATGTAATAATTAGGCTATATTCTAGTAAACAGTTTTTTAACATTAACATACCTGAATAATCAGCTGAGCTCTGCAACCCACTTAAGGAGTCCAATAAGATGATTGGACGATGCAACACATTACACAACCCAAAGATATGGATATTTCGAAGTCCTATTGGCTCAGTATCATAGGGAACAAAGTCAGGGTCGCACTCATCAACAATCAGACTCCATTCATTGATATCAATAAAATCACAGAATATCAACTTATACTTATCCAGGTACATCTCAAAATGTTTCTTGAGATTCACACGCAATGCATGCCAGAATAACTCTCGGCCAATCAGAGATCTTGATACAGCATGCACCAGGCAGTGCCCATCACCATCAGCATGTAATGGTATGAGTAACTCTCCTTTTGGATCGTTGAAACGGTCAATCATATCAACAGTTTCTTGTAGATACTTAACACTTCCTGTTTGATCTCTTCCATATCCGCTTATATCAATATGCTCTGGACTGATCTGAAATGCCCGGTCACCAAGTATTGCGCAATCAAAGGTTTCTCCTCGATTAAGACTTTGCAGCTTCTGAGCTTTACCACCTTTATCCATCCCATAATAAGTCAACAATGGACTGAGTAATTTACAGTGGTAATTGGATAATCCTAGGACACGAGTCGAGTCTGTTCCTTTCTTAGGTACAACATTACCTAGCAATACATTTCGAACCATATTGTGTAATGCCACTTCAGGATCATTCACTTGCTCTATGTTAACTATAGAGGATTTCTCATGTCTTTGGCCACACCCAGTGCACTCTATACTGCTATCCCAAGCTGGGAAATATAGTTTAGTTTTACAATGATCATCCGGACAATAGCCACTCAACAAACGATAGGGTTCTCCGCTTTTTGATCGTGGCAACATTGTGTACTCAATGAACCTGAAATGTAAATACAGTGTATTATCAAAGTTTGAACAATATTTTATACACTTATCAGAAACATTGACATAAGGGGCAAATCATTTGAAATCATAGGGGGTGGCAGGAAGAGTGTCACCAGCGTGATTTCTTTTATGCATCTCTTATCTTTATTTTTTCTTGAATGTGCCAATAAGTTTTCAATGCAACATCTTGCACGTATTCCTTCTCTCAGTGTCTAGCTTGCAATTTTTTTTAACAAATCTTTCAGCCACTCCCATTTTTTCTAATGGTCAACACCTTATTTTACATTTAGCATAAAAACAATATTTACCATTCCATAAAAAAGTATTTAATCACATACATGTACATGTAAGAGCATTGGTGAAGAGGATCCTACATAGTATGACACCAAGTATGTGTCCTGACCACTGAACAGTCACAGCTACATATGAATTCTATGAAACCATTATTGAAATAGTCAGGCAATGAATTTCAAGTTGTAGAACTCAATCATTTATAATTTTGGTAACTAATTATTATATTATTACATGTATGCATATATTTAAACCCAAAAATGAGTAGGTTGTCATATTATCTAAGAGCAATTATGCACCAAGATTCATTGAAATAAGATGATTATTACTTGAGATATCAATAGAAAAGCTAAAAATGGTCTTATTTTATGCAAATTAGATAATTAATATGTGCAGAATTTAATTTTATGTCACATAGCATCTATGTACAAAGATGATTAGTACTTGAAATATCGGTGGGAAAGCCAGAAATTTATAAATTATTATATTATACAAATTGGGTAATTAATATAAACAGATTTTAACCCAAAACTGATCAGGTCTGAGCATTAGATAAGAGCATCTATGTACCAAGTTTCATTGAAATCTGACAAGAGATAATGGTGGAAAAGCTATACATAAAGAAAGTATAAGTTGATAATTTTAAATATTTATTATTATTATTATTATTATTATTATTATTATTATTATTATTATTATTATTACTATACCAATGCAGTAATCATAATTATTATTAGTTTGTAATTGAACTTGTTCTGCATGATATGTTTCTTACCCCAGACCATTCGTCCCG